GGGGGGGGGGAGGGAGGAAACAACTTAGAAGTCAGCTTTACCATTTTACAAAAATAAGAACATTAGCACACAATACTCACCTCCACTTTGTGTGATATATCTGACCCACGGAAGTGCCTGATACCCGCTCTTCTCAATAATTTTCATATACCGGACCTTGAGAAAGAGAAAATGAAATAAAATAATGATATATATATCGTACTTTGCGCTCTATAAGGCGCTACGTCTATAGGACGCAGGCATTCTGTGACAGAAGCTGCAGTTCAGTGACCGCTGAGACAGGTGGCGCTGTGATTACGGTCTCAGCAATCACACAGAGCAGACGAAGAACGACGTTGTTCGTCTGCTCAAGGGGCTCTATGGTGAGCTCCTATGCCGTGGTCGCGGTCCCCCAGAGGAGCGGGGGACCCCGATTGAACGAGCAGCGGCTCCCACTTTACATTCAGCTGCTTGAAAAAAAGTGTGTGTGTGTGTGTGTCTGTATGACAATGGAGATTTTCCAGCAGCCCAGAGAGATAGTCGGCCATCATCACTGACATCAGACATTAATTATCCGCTGTTGGGGAATGAATATAACTAAATAACAGCACACTCTGTGTCTGAGAGGTAAGGCTGCACTATTCAGGGTGGACAATCAAATTCCTACAAAGGCCTGTCCCTGACTAGTTCTCCATCAAGTATCTAAACCCAAAACAAAAATGTAATATACAGTAATACCTTGGTTTACAAGTAACTTGGTTTGAGAGCGTTTTGCAAGACAAGCAAACATTTCTGAAAAATTTTGCCTTGATATACAAGCAATGTCTTGCAAGAAGAGCAAAATTTTGTAGAAAACCACCACTGAATAAGGCTGTAGCAGTGCGAGCGAGGATTCTGTTTAACGACAATGCAATGTCACATTGGATAGATTCCTTGTTAAGGTTTCACGAAGAGAAAAAGATTCCATTCAAGTCAAGAGTCAAGAGATAGGAGTGATTCCGTTAGTGATAGTGAAAGTCGTCCTACACAATAATCCTCCTCTCTCTCGTCCCCCTCACACCAACCACAAAGGTATGGGTAATTGGTTTCTTTTTCTTTATATTTTGTACAGTATTATATTACAGTACAGTATTGTAATCATTTTTATATGAATATTTTTGGGTTGTGGAACAAATCATCTGAATTTCCATTATTTCCTATGGGGAAATTTGCTTTGATATACAAGCGCTTTGGATTACAAGCATGCTGCCGGAACTAATTATGCTCGTAAACCAAGGTATTACTGTACAGCAGCGTATCAGTCCTTGGATGTGGAGCTTGCATTAGTTCTTTAAAAACAAAAAAAACACACCCTTCCTGTCCCCGAGTGGCTACTCTTCTCTATTGTATGCATTAGGGAATCCATGGTTGCCACCTAGAGGCTAGACTATGGATATGCAAAACAAACGACAAACGCACTCAACAATTTGTCACCAGTTATACAGTAAGGTGCACACGAAATGGGCTTAGAACAGTAGAAAGGCATCATTAACAAGAGTGACAGCCGGTCATAAAAGATAATTGGCGAAAAGCCGCATCCCCAAGTCATTTTATATGCACCCAATTTGAAATCTTCTGCCCCCATGTGCTCCAAGGTGGAGACTCTCATAGTTTAGAGTTAGGACCGCACTATAAGAGGTGCCTTGGCGCGGCAGTGCGGCTTTCACATCCTCTGCAGAAGACGTGTATCCAAACCTCTGTTATTATCCTCAGTGGTGAGACAAGTTGTTTTGCATGCTGGTTTGTGAGTGTGCCATGATGCCTTTCTACTGTTAGACTATGGATATATGTCTGCCTTTGTTCATCTCCATTACATTGGGGATGGGGAGATTAGTAGTTTACAGAAGAAGATTGCATTGTTTTGTGCACTCAGCTCACACAGTACCTGCTCAGGTATTTTCTGCACTTGCTGCGAATGTTCTTGGCCTGAAAAATGAAAACTAATCCAGCCACCTTATCCAAGGGCACCGATATATCGGCTGACAGGTGGAGACTCTCATAGTTTAGAGTTAGGACCGCACTATAAGAGGTGCCTTGGCGCGGCAGTGCGGCTTTCACATCCTCTGCAGAAGACGTGTATCCAAACCTCTGTTATTATCCTCAGTGGTGAGACAAGTTGTTTTGCATGCTGGTTTGTGAGTGTGCCATGATGCCTTTCTACTGTTAGACTATGGATATATGTCTGCCTTTGTTCATCTCCATTACATTGGGGATGGGGAGATTAGTAGTTTACAGAAGAAGATTGCATTGTTTTGTGCACTCAGCTCACACAGTACCTGCTCAGGTATTTTCTGCACTTGCTGCGAATGTTCTTGGCCTGAAAAATGAAAACTAATCCAGCCACCTTATCCAAGGGCACCGATATATCGGCTGACAAAACATATTGACCGAAAATTGCACTTTTGGCAAAATGCAGAAAGTGCCATATTTTGGCTGATATGCATCCGTTCTTTCTCTCCTCCCCGCAGGGGGCTGCTCGGTGTCCCAGCGGGGAGGAGAGAAAGTGTCACAGTCGGCTGAGCGCTGCAGGAGGAGAGTGCTGTGAGCGGCCGGCGTCTCTCCTGCCCGCACTGCTCAGCCTCCTGTGACAGCGTGTCAGGATGGAGAGCGGGTACAAGCAGTCAGTGATCGCTGAGTGTTTGTAAATAATTGAGGACAGAGTATGGTTACTATATCCTCAATTATGAATGAATGGGAAGTGATCTACATCCCCTCCTGTTCATTCATAACACGAGGACAGAATGGGTGGAATTTATCAAAACTGGAGCAGAAAAATCTGGAGCAGTTATGCATGGCAACCAATCAGCATCCACCTTTCATTTTCAAACCTTGTAAAAACTGAAGTGAAGAGAGAAGCTGATTGGTTGCCATAGGCAACTGCTCCAGATTTTTCTGCTCCAGTTTTGATAAATTCCACCCATTCTGTCCTCGTGTTATGAATGAACAGGAACACTCAGTATAAAAGATTCCTGTTCATGTATAACAGGGCTCTGTGTCCTCAATCTCTTTTTCTATTTTAAAAAGGGAAATACCAGGGGTCTGTTTAGACCCCAACATTTTTTCATTTCAGTGCACCTCTACCAAGGGCTGGTAAGCTGTAATATATCATATTTTTGTTTCAAGGTGCAGTTTTCCATTAGGCATATTTGTACCTGAATTCCAGAAACTGTAAAATAGGGAATTTCAAACTTGACGCTGATTGGAGGTCTTCCTTCCAGTTCTTCTGTCTCCACACTGGGCAGCCCAAAGTGTGCCCGCATCAGATACTCTTTACCACCCTGCAGATCCAAAACAGCAGATTGTTTACAATGTGCAAAGATCACAGATCTACCCAAGCCAAGAGGAAAAGATGATATGTGATTAAATAAAAGAGTTGGGGCGCTCGAGGGTCAGAATGAGCTCTGCAAGGACTCTGATCATAGAGGAAATGTATTGCAGTGACACCCACATGATGAAACATTACCGAGATTTACTGCCAAATTTCTGACTAAGGGGTGGACGTGATGGTGACTTTACTCCGATCAGCTATAACATTGTGACCACTGAGAGGTGAAGTGAATGACATTGATTATCTGGTTATATTACAATGACACCTGGAAGTGGGGGATATATTACAATGGCACCTGGAAGTGGGGAAGTCAAGTCCCTCTTGCTGAATGCAACTGGGGTTTGGGTGTGCACCAAAATAAATGACAGGTCCCCTTTATATATACAGAAAACTCCACAGCTATATGTTTTACTCACCGGAAATGATTTGATTGTCCAGATGACCACATTTTTTTCCGGGACGTATTTTGCACTCCCAACGCTGGTTTTAAATTTTGGGGAATCGGCATCGCTGGGAACCGGAATGGAGATCTCCACATTATTCGCTACGGACTGTTTCTTAAATTGGCCTTTTGCCTAATGGAAGAGAAACCAGAAAGTGAAGTCTCTTCAGGAGAGTCAACTAGGACAGCTACTTCAGTTGTAGGGCTGCCACCGGGATCTTCATACTTGTGTGTGCTCATGTTGGATTATCTGAAGAAATACGGTGGCCATTTTCTAGTAGCCCTGAGCGCATTTTACTTAGTTTAGCGTTAGCGGCTGGTTTTGAGACTATAGAAGTTCACTGATGACATTCTGGGCACCAAAAGTAGAAATAAAACCGGGTCCCATAGCTTCTCTTATCTGTGTCACCCTGTGGTGGGAGGGACAGACCCCATGTCCCATAACTTCTCTTATCTGTGTCACCCTGTGGTGGGAGGGACAGACTCCATGTCACATAGCTTCTCTTGTCTGTGTCACCCTGTGGTGGGAGGGACAGACTCCATGTCACATAGCTCCCACTGTCTGTGTCACGTGGGAGGGACAGACCCCATGTCCCATAACTTCTCTTATCTGTGTCACCCTGTGGTGGGAGGGACAGACTCCATGTCACATAGCTCCCCCTGTCTGTGTCACCCTGTGGTGGGAAGGACAGACCCCATGTCACATGGCTCCTCCTGTCTGTGTCACCCTGTGGTGGGAGGGACAGACCCCATGTCGCATAGCTCTCCCTGTCTGTGTCAACCTGTGGTAGGAGGGACAGACTCCATGTCACATGGCTCCTCCTGTCTGTGTCGCCCAGTGGTGGGAGGACAGACTCCATGTCACATAGCTCCTCCTGTCTGTGTCGCCCAGTGGTGGGAGGACAGACTCCATGTCACATAGCTCCTCCTGTCTGTGTCGCCCAGTGGTGGGAGGACAGACTCCATGTCACATAGCTCCTCCTGTCTGTGTCGCCCAGTGGTGGGAGGACAGACTCCATGTCACATAGCTCCTCCTGTCTGTGTCGCCCAGTGGTGGGAGGACAGACTCCATGTCACATAGCTCCTCCTGTCTGTGTCGCCCAGTGGTGGGAGGACAGACTCCATGTCACATAGCTCCTCCTGTCTGTGTCGCCCAGTGGTGGGAGGACAGACTCCATGTCACATAGCTCCTCCTGTCTGTGTCGCCCAGTGGTGGGAGGACAGACTCCATGTCACATAGCTCCTCCTGTCTGTGTCGCCCAGTGGTGGGAGGACAGACTCCATGTCACATAGCTCCTCCTGTCTGTGTCGCCCAGTGGTGGGAGGACAGACTCCATGTCACATAGCTCCTCCTGTCTGTGTCGCCCAGTGGTGGGAGGACAGACTCCATGTCACATAGCTCCTCCTGTCTGTGTCGCCCAGTGGTGGGAGGACAGACTCCATGTCACATAGCTCCTCCTGTCTGTGTCGCCCAGTGGTGGGAGGACAGACTCCATGTCACATAGCTCCTCCTGTCTGTGTCGCCCAGTGGTGGGAGGACAGACTCCATGTCACATAGCTCCTCCTGTCTGTGTCGCCCAGTGGTGGGAGGACAGACTCCATGTCACATAGCTCCTCCTGTCTGTGTCGCCCAGTGGTGGGAGGACAGACTCCATGTCACATAGCTCCTCCTGTCTGTGTCGCCCAGTGGTGGGAGGACAGACTCCATGTCACATAGCTCCTCCTGTCTGTGTCGCCCAGTGGTGGGAGGACAGACTCCATGTCACATAGCTCCTCCTGTCTGTGTCGCCCAGTGGTGGGAGGACAGACTCCATGTCACATAGCTCCTCCTGTCTGTGTCGCCCAGTGGTGGGAGGACAGACTCCATGTCACATAGCTCCTCCTGTCTGTGTCGCCCAGTGGTGGGAGGACAGACTCCATGTCACATAGCTCCTCCTGTCTGTGTCGCCCAGTGGTGGGAGGACAGACTCCATGTCACATAGCTCCTCCTGTCTGTGTCGCCCAGTGGTGGGAGGACAGACTCCATGTCACATAGCTCCTCCTGTCTGTGTCGCCCAGTGGTGGGAGGACAGACTCCATGTCACATAGCTCCTCCTGTCTGTGTCGCCCAGTGGTGGGAGGACAGACTCCATGTCACATAGCTCCTCCTGTCTGTGTCGCCCAGTGGTGGGAGGACAGACTCCATGTCACATAGCTCCTCCTGTCTGTGTCGCCCAGTGGTGGGAGGACAGACTCCATGTCACATAGCTCCTCCTGTCTGTGTCGCCCAGTGGTGGGAGGACAGACTCCATGTCACATAGCTCCTCCTGTCTGTGTCGCCCAGTGGTGGGAGGACAGACTCCATGTCACATAGCTCCTCCTGTCTGTGTCGCCCAGTGGTGGGAGGACAGACTCCATGTCACATAGCTCCTCCTGTCTGTGTCGCCCAGTGGTGGGAGGACAGACTCCATGTCACATAGCTCCTCCTGTCTGTGTCGCCCAGTGGTGGGAGGACAGACTCCATGTCACATAGCTCCTCCTGTCTGTGTCGCCCAGTGGTGGGAGGACAGACTCCATGTCACATAGCTCCTCCTGTCTGTGTCGCCCAGTGGTGGGAGGGACAGACCCCATGTAACATAGCTCCTCCTGTCTGTCGTCTTACCTTAACCATGATCTCCAGTCTACTGTGAGTAAACTTCTCAATCACGGATTCAATCCAAATCAATGGTTTCACCTACAAAATTGAAAATAGATTTTATTTGTCATCTATTAATATGATATAGATTTCTATGGAATATGTCCAACCAAAATGACATAACAGCTAAACTGGATCTGCCATAGAAAATCATGAAAACAAAGAGAAAACACGGCCCAATACCCCACATCTGGTATCAGGTTGCACCGCATTCAGAAGTGTTTGTATCAGCTTTCATGGCATCGCTCGTCCTTCAGAAAGGATTTTGCCCATTATCTTTCAGAGATCTTTTGTTACATCATATCAGTAATCATTTCCCCTCGAACAGAACCAGTCACCAATAAGCATTTGTAATAATCGGAATCTCCACTCTCAGACCCCCGTTCACATGTAGCGACATACCTTTGCAGCGGCCGGGATAGCGCGACTTTCAGGGCGACGTTCCAGCGATGGTAGCGCGACCTTCTCCGTCGGGCTCCATAGAAAAAAAGCAAAATCGCGCGAAATCCGCCGAAAAAAGGGTCCGGTAGAAGCGACTTGCGAACGCGACGAGCGACATGGAGTTAAGACAGCTCCATTGAATAGCATTGGTCGGCGACTTCTCGCGATATCGCGCGGCAAAAATGCGCGATATCGCTACATGTGAACGGGGCCTTATTGTTATAGAGGCAGCCTTACGGCCCCATTCACACCAGGGCGACAGCTTTTCAGTGCTTTTTTTCTCATATGTAAGAGCGTTTTAAGCTCGTTTTCAGTTGACCAATGAAAAGCAGTCTCAGCTGCAAAAATTCACTAAAAAAAAAAATGCAAAAAACTAGCTGATCGGCGCATTTCCAATTAAAGTCTATGGAGCAAAACGAGCTGATAAGCGCTGCAAAAGAAGCTCAGGGACTAATTTAAACAACAGGTGTATTTGTACGTGCAATTCAGCACATTTGCGTGAGCGGCCGCCCTTAGCCCTGGTTCACACCTAGGCGTATTGCATATGCGCCTCTGTCGCGCGGTTTTTTTACACGGTAAAAAAATTGCGTGACAAACGCGCGTTTCCATTGGCTGTAACCCAATGGAAACGCGCAACAAAAACGGCCCAAAGTAGTACCTGTACCTTTTCAGGCGTGGGCCGTTTTGTAGCGCGTTAGGGACGGGCTAAAATACGCCAAGGTGTGAACCAGACCCATTGAATACAATGGGATTTAGATGTTTGAGCGTTTTGTAGAGCGTTCGTCGAGCGTAGAACACGCTACAAAACGTTCAGGTGTGAACGAGGGCTTAAGAATACTAGGATTTTGATTTCTGTGCGTTTCAGCGCAGGAAAAAAAAACATGCGACGAAACGCCCTGGTATGAATGGGGCCTACCTGTTACAGATCATTTTTAGGTTACTTACTTGTATTCTCTCCTTGTCAAATCAGAAGGGAATACAAGAGCAAAACACAGGTAAATAAGAGCTCACCCACAACTGTATCTTTCCCACAGGGAGAGAATGGAATTGATTAACAGCAACAACACACCTAATTCTGAAAGAGAAAACTGCACTATTATAATAAATTACGCATAGGGACTCAGGTAAGCAACAACTGCGCAATAATCAAATCTTAAATAAGAATCGAAGATTCTTAGATGTGGCGTTCCTGGTGTACAGGAGGCCACCTATGTGATCAGAGGGTCAATGTTGTATCCTTCTATTGCGATATTACATACTACACTAGATGGATACCTGTGTGTTCAGCCGATAAGCCATCAACTCGAAGTCCCCGTCTGGAGGAATAAAGGAGATGGTACGATCGTTCTCAAAGCGCGACAGGCGAACGCACTGATGGAACTTCACATCTTCTAGTTCCACAGTCTTGTTTTTATTGCCTATGATGGGAACCAGACAAGGACAGTCACACCTCTGTATATTGCAAGAAGAATAGAAATAGAGAGAGAGTGATACAAAGGAAACAGGCGGGTAGTTCCTCTGCCCTCTCTAGCAATGATATCACCGACACGTTTTCGCCAGCGTCAGGATCGCTGGTGAGTTATAAGCGTAAGGCAGAAGCCCGGATTACAACCAGGGACCCAACGTGGCAAGATGGAAGTCCTAGGTACTTAGCAATGGCCAAAGTAAACACTTGGGACATCTATTTCAGCAGTGGGTAACGGTGTGCGCCTGTACAGTTCCTCCCCAATAACAACACGGTTACAATGCATTTCTGGAGTCTATTATTCAGACTGATGGAATAAAATTATTTATTAAAATGTTCCCCTGCCCCCCCCCCAGTGCCTG